AAAATATTACACTTTACAATACACTTGTATTTATTGGTGAAAGCTAAAAATCCAAATTTCCTGACATTCTATGTGTTGTCAAGTGGTAGAATATACAGAGTTCAGTCGAAATGACCATAATAATAAGTACTGGGTTTAGTTAGATATGGTTATATAATCCGATGTTGATATAGTTAAATTATTATTGTTACTGTGCAGATAGTTTGTAAATTAACTAAATAACTACCTTATTCAGTAATCACCCGTTCTCAGTGTTGGTTAAAATCTTACCTCGATTGATTCGTTTTCATAGCACATCTTATAACTATAATTGGTCGATTACTGAATAGCGACCAACGTTATGTTTGTCTAGTGTTTTTGGTGCTGATCCAATACTATCTATGGAGTTACGATGTGTCGACTAATAGCAGTAAAATGACATAGCATGGACTAAATTGATATGTAAGTTGGTGGTTGAAAATAGTCTGTAGGAAATGATGGACCTAGGTCTCATGCCAGTTAACACTTATGGGTAAAACATACCTGAAGTTTTAAAGGAGCTGGTGCTTAGCTCTACTAAATTTTAATTTGACTAATAAAATACGTTCAAATTCAAAGCACTACGTGAAAATAAAAAAATATCAGTTTTAAATATTATGTATTTACAGAAACCCTTTGGTGATGTCTCAGCCGGTATAACCGGGTTATCTGGGTATGCACCAGTTCCTCTAAGATTTTAACTATCCTTTACTGACAAGGGTCAACTAGCGTCTATATTGACCAGTGTGTCTTGATAAGTACATTTAACCGGCCACTCAAATGTTGATTAAAGCATATGCTAATTATATTTTTGTGCAATAGTTATGAAAAACCGATCAATAACGTTCCTCATTGTCACTCTGATTACCTAGACAATCTAAGTAGATTCTTCTACCCGGTGATTGATCTTCATTGGAATTTTTTACTTCAGTGTTTTCTAAAAACCTAAAATATCTACACTTTGATATTTTATTCTTTTATCCTAGTAATCCGTTAATATTACACTATATTCATCTACATTTGTATGCTGATTTCAAAATGTCATAATAACTACAACATAATGTTGCTTAGACTATATATAAATTCCAAAATCACAGATTTCAAATACATACACTGTAAATTGACTAGTTATTCATTTCACACTTCATAATCAATAAATTAAAGTGTATATTAGTCTATGTTTAGACGTTTGACTTTTTACTTAAATGTAATACGTATATTCATCTATGTGTTATGAAATACGTGCTATTCATACTGGAATTGCATTTTCTATTCTTATTCTTTTAATAAGCATATCATTCATTCAAAAGTATGTCACAATTGATTGATCCTTGGTTGGTGATCAATGTCATGTGTGTCAAGTCCTTCTTAGTGCTGATCGAATACTATGTGGCCACCAGTCTAGGTGACTCGACGCTGTGTGCACTATGTTGAGATTAGATAGTGATTGGAGGGGTAGTCGACAGGAAACCCTGGACCTGGGTTTTATACTTTTTGGCACTCGTCAACCAAGGTGTACTTGTAATCTTGAGGAAACTGGTGCTCTCTGACAGATTCGGTCCCGAGTCACCCAGCTTTTGTTTTAATAATGTAGACAAATGATGAAATTAAACCAGTATACAATAATTTGACTATTGTACATTAAATGTGAATACAAGAAGCATTTCAGCATTCTTTCCAATTGGTTTACTAGTGATGGGTTTGTTTTTTTTTAGGTGTTGAATTGACAATGAATAAAGAAAAAATATTAAACGATGATTTCAACAATATTCATTGTGTGTCTGGGTAGATTTCAACTTGTATTTGAAATAAATCATTTATTCAATGATGAAATGTAAATTTCAGGTTTAATGACATTTGATTTATATATGTACTAGTGGCTGGTATTTGTATTGTTAATTTATACCTTATAACCGTACATTTAACTTTACTTATAACAAAAGTTTAAAAAATAATGGAGAGACCATAATATATGGACGAAATGATCAGATTTAAGGTAAAATGTCTTGAATTTTGGAGCGAAATTCACTCACTCATTTGGCTAAATAGAGTCTTGGCATTATAGCTGATGTCAGTTAGTGATGTAAACCATGCATCTAATTCCCAACACTAACCATCAACTCTAAATCATAATCCTTATTCTTGAAACTGTTTTACAACCCTAATTTAGCCCTAGTAATTAGGTGGGCGTTCTCTAGTTCACTTTAGATTGGCTCGAAGGTCATTTATAAATGATAGCCTCTCTAAAAGGATTATATATTTCCCTATTTAAATAAAAATTAAAAAAATCGTATTTTCTGGATTCTGATTCTCTTCTTACAACCACATTCATATTAAAACATACTGTAATAATAAATGGTTTGAATAATTTTTCAAACATTTGGAACTCAAAACAACTGTCAATCAACACCGAAGTCACAGTTTTCAATACAAATGTCAAGACAGTTCCACTGTGTGGGCCGGAAACCTGGAGAACTACGAAAACCATCATTCAAAAGATACAATTGTTTATTACCAGCTGTCTACACAAAATACTTCAGATCCGTTGGCCAGACAATATCAGCAACAACCAACTGTGGGAGAGAACAAACCGGACCCCGGCGGAGGGAGAAATCGAGAAGAAGCGATGGATATGGATAGGACACATATTGAGGGAAGCACCTAACTGCATCACAAGGCAAGTCCTCACATGGAATCTTGAAGGTCAAAGGAGAAGAGGAAGACCAAACAACACATTATGCCGAAAAATGGAGACAGACATGAGAAGAATGAACAGCGATTGGATAGAACTAGAAAAGAAGGCTCAGAACAGAGTGGGTTGGAGAACACTGATTGGCGGCCTATGCTCCATTGGGAGTAACAGGCGTAAGTAACTATAAAGTTTGTAAATAACAAGAGTGTTTGTTGAAAATTGATTAATCTAATCAGAATGATAAAGAATCAGACAGATATATCGACATTTTTTTGAAGATACCTAAAATTTAAAATACTGATCTTTGGTTGAATGTCATTAGAAAAGAGAGAGTGATCAGTTGATGGTTGTCACTCTTTGAGTGATTTAATTTTTTAAAAACCACTACTTTAGTGGAACGTAGTTTAATTATAATTTTCATCTATTCCCGTTATGAATAACAAATTTAATAATATTGATTACGTATAAAACCATCATACTGTTTTTGGTTACGCAACCTACTATTCTTAACTCTTTTTTTGAAAAGTACTAAAAGGTGTTGAAATGGTAGAGAACATTTGTAACTCAGATAGGTGGTTTTCATGGAGTTTTGTTCTCTGAGCTGGATGTTTTGGTCGTGAAACTTTCTTCGTTCTCCTGAACGACATCATCAGCTCTACAATCGAACCATCTAGCTCAGAAAACCGAACTCCATCAAAAACTCAAAAGTATACTTTTCTTCATGTTTTTCTAGTATATATGCTTTGAAATATACATTTAAATTGATAAATTTGGTTCAAAAAGACTTCTTTTCTAATGACTTTTATGATTCCATTTGATTATGTGCATTAACTTCTTTGAAGTAATTCAACATTGATATAACTGTACTTGAATCATTAAGTTATTACTGTTTTACCAAAGTTTTAAAAGTAATGAATATCATAAACCTAGTACTATTACTGTTTTAGATATCAGCTCACTGAAGACGGTGATGCAATTTTGTGGATTGGTTGAAGTCAGACATTAACACCGTTGGATTCCGGCCAGATCAGTGGTCCGATGGTTGAGCGCTCGCACGCGAGACTGATTGGTCCTGTGTTCGAATCTCACGTGGGAGGGGAGGTATCGTGAATACGCACTGCTAAGGAGTCCCATACTAGGACGAAACGGTCGTCCAGTTCTTCCAAGTTTTCCATGTTGTTCTAGCTTCATTTGACTCACGATTTCAATTATTAATCTGTTTATTGACTTATGATTTTCTCTACCCTTGTCATTATTAAAACCATTTAGTTGTTTATTAGACAAGAGAAAAGCTCATCTCTCAAATTCTGTATATAAACACATAAACCAATAATGTTTATTGAGAAAACAGCTAAATAAATAAATAAGTAAATGAAAAACAATTTTAAGTATCAAAATATAAATCATAAAAAAATAATTTTCACTTTTAATCTAATACAAATACCATCAATAATTTTGTTAACAATAGTCCTAGTAGTAGTAGTAGTAGTAGTAGTAGTAGTAGTAGTAGTAGTAGTAGTAGTAGTAGTAGTAGTAGTAGTAGTAGTAGTAGTAGTAGTAGTGATAATAATAATAGTAGTAGTAGTAATCAAAGTACGTTGTAATGCGTACCTCTGTGCATGTGTGTGTATGTAAGTGCATATATATATTTATTTACTGCCCTATTTATTCACATGAAACCACTATTGTCATAATTGTAAACTGTAATGATAGGCAATTTCATGTGAAAATCATTCAAACCAATTAAATAAAATGTTTACTGATGAAAGACTAATATACTTTAATATACATTAGCATCATTTTATCTTCTATAATCTTTAATAAACTAAATCACATGTAGTAGTATTCAATAACAACAATACTGTTCATACCTTTTCATAAATAACTTTACCTTGAATAGCCTCAACAACAACAACAACAACAAAATACTACTCAAATAACAAGCTTACTATTTTATGCACAGGGGGGTTATGTTTATGTGTACATAGAAGTTAAATCTTGTATAGAATAAATTTAACTATTTGGCTTATATTTAATAATGATGCCTTTTTATTTCTATAAGGTTATCTTATCTAGTTTGAGCGATCTGCATAAATTTCTGTTCACACAATAATAATAATATAACTGGTGCATTTATTATTACCTCCATGTATGTGTTTATCTCTCTATATGTGTATATTTATATGTCTTTGTTGTGTGTGTGCGTGTGCGTGCGTGCAAATGGATATGGTGAGAATTGAATGATGAGTGGATGGGAAAAAAGTCAACTAGAAACAAGCATTTTTTCGTCGTTATTATTATTATTATTATTATAACTAATACTATGTTCATACGAAAATCATGATGTACACATTACATTAAACTAAATGAGAGAGAGAAAAAGAAGGATAAATCTTCATGTAAATATTATACAAATGAGATATTTTTCTATCTTCTACATCATTTCGTTTAATTGGTATACTTCTGTAACTTCTATATATATAGAACCAACCTATCATGATTAGTTGTTAACAGGTACAACATCATACTATTTAATGCCAATTAATTTGTGAACAATACTCAACTATAATGTATTGCTTACATTAAATTATAAATGATGTTTCTAATGCTGTTTCACAATGGATATTAGAAAATTCCTCAAAGAATCCATACATATATATGTATGTACCCTTAGGAATTATTAGATATATTTGAAAAAAAAAATAGAAAAATATCATCCATCGAAAAGAAAATTATCCATAGAAACAGTATTGACTTGGTTAATTTATTAAATAGTTAGTTTATATATTGGTTTCTTTGGGTCTTAATCACAATAACACATTATTGACGTCAGTGAAGAAACAAAACAAAAACAACGACAGCAAAAACAACCATTCATAGGTAAGTTATTATTTGTGTTCTTTTAATTATAATGAATAATTAAATATTGTATTTTGAAGATTAACTTTTATAGTAATTAGTGTTTGAAGAGAGACAATTGAGTTTATCCTGACATTACATGTAACTCTTGTAAAATTTATGATTGATTTAAATCATTTTGAAGAAATGGTTTTTTGGCCAACTAGTATTCTACAGTATCAGGTTGTTGTCCCAATTTCTAACCCTCTTTCTGGGACCTTCAGTAGCCTCAGAGGGGCTACAAGCGAAGTTATTTTGAAGAAATGTGGAAATTTAATTGATCCTATGTTATCCGAACTGAAATGTAGTTTATTATTCTTGTAGATGATATTATCAGTGTATATACTCCAAGTAGAAGCAGATTTCTTAAAAATCATTCCCTTGAAACTTAATCAAACTATTCTTGTTACCGTATTTTTGACTCGATATGTACAAAAGCTTTTTGTATCTTCATAGGTTTTGTTATTCTTTGATCCCAAAACTTGATATATTTTTCCAATCTACTGTCTATTTACAATTATCTAAGTATATTAACATAAATGTCTCAGCATGGCAGTTGATATTAGATAACTTAACCGATCAAATGGTAAGATGTCAGTCAAATAAAGCAGTCAATATGAATAGAACGGCATATAAATTTCAAGGTGTTAACTAGCAAAACAGACATTCATTCAAAATAAGTAATTTAGCGCTTATGAAATAATTTTTTGAAAGTATACTTCTTCTTGGCGAATATGTTCTTGCTATCTTCTAGAACCATAAGGAAAGCTTTACAATTGAACCATTCAGTTTCAAGAATGCAAAGTCATGACTTGTTTAAACTAATGAAGTTTACATTACAAATAATATGCATTAAAACCTATGAAAATAACCAGAATAGTCACTTCTGCTCAAACTAAGTTCAATTACAAATCTTAACCACTACTCAAGTAAAGTAAACCAATAACCTATTCATTCTTAATAGATTTTTCATTGAGTTTATAATAATCATAATATAAAGGTGTACAATCCAAAAAGGACTACTGTAACATAAATACTAAGACAAACAGTTCATTATCAAGAAAAAAAGATTAATCACTTTCATGAGTCATACTATACCTATGAAAATGTTTTGTGAAGATCGTCAGCTTGATTTAAACATTTGTGTATTCACTTCAACAAGCTTTTACTAAACTTTCAACTGTCAAAATGATAGATTCTCTTTTAGATAAATTTGGGACAACTACAGTTTGAATGGTTAACATGACAGGGTAGTCATCATGAATTATACACGAATTATATTATTTTCGAAATCTTCATTCAATTATAAATACGGTTGAATTTTTTTCGTTTAAATAACCATCTTTGCTTACAATGCTTGTCAATGAAAGTAATACGTAAAATATGCACATAAACCAATAAGAGACTGATGAATTGCAGTACTTAACATGAATGGAAACATTCAAGTAAACAATACTAAGTGAATTCAATACTTGATCTCATTGCACAAGCACGTGGCTATTAGGAATGGACATCAACTCCAGAATGCAGATGAATCCAGCTGATGAATCCAAGGTAGGACGAAACACACATCCTGGATTCTATTGTTAGCCACTATCTATCTTTGATTAAAATGCTTGAGACAATCTGAACACAATGCATGTATGCCAATAACAGACTGATCAATTAGTGTTCTAACATCAATGGGAGGATTCAATTAAACAGTACGAAAAGAAATTTTGTCACGTAGATAGGATTTTCAGTACGTTAATATATGACTCTTATTTATTACTTAATAAACACTTATAAGGCTTCTATGATTGTATACGTAGATATTATTATCATTATTATTAAGATATCCGTTGCAATCTCAGTAATGAACATACATAACCCCCAACATATTCATTATAACAATACATGGCTAAATGATATATATGTAAGATGGTTTATACATTAAAACATAAAACGGTATATTTCACTGGTTGAAATCATGAGTCAATTGAAGCTAGACTACCATGAAAAACCTGGAAGCACTAGATGGCCGTTCTAACCAGTGAAATTTCTAAAAATCTCCACAAAACCCATTCTGAAAACGGTTTATGTTCAAAGTATTTTACAAGTCTATTCAATAATATAAAAAAGATAATCAACTATTGTATATTTCAATTATTCATTTAACAATCATGTTATATAACGAATAAATAATTAATCAAACTGAAATGTTTCATACTTTCAAGCAAAATACCTAATTCATTTAGTATAAACCCCCCCCTGCACACACACACTGAAAAAAATTGTTTTTTTTCTCGTTTTCTCTAATCACTAGGTTATATCTATAATCAGACTCATTCAGTAGTTTAAATGTAGTTCTTTTTTCAAATCATTGACTTAATCATGCATTAATCAACGACCAGACTTGGGAGAATGACATAATAATTTCTTAATATAGAAATATAATCTGTAGAGTTACTCAAGCCGATATAGATGACATCTAATAAAGTTTCATCAAGTTAGTTATAAACAAAATAGAGACTGACATACATTTATGCAACAATCAATAACGCTGTATGATACCATGTTACAACCATTTTACTTCATAGTGATTGAAAATTCATTAACCGAGTATTCTAAACCTAACATCTGAATTATTTACACAGTTGTTTCACTATACATGATCAATCTTTAAAAGGTACCTATAATTAAAACTATATAGTCTATCAATGCTTACTATATTAGCAGACACTGTTTCATAGAAATAGAATGTTACAGAGTGTATTAGTGAACAATATGCCTTGTCGTTTTTTTAAGAAGATCATTTGTCGAAATATACCGAACTAAGATGAAATATCTAGGATGAAATGTCGAAAACTTTATAACTTTGAATTCACTTCATGCAATGTAGCAAATTAAATATATAAGACTGAAAACGTTTACGTATACGCTAAAATTACTGGTATATTTTAACCAACAATACCTTCAATCATTTGTTAGACAAATTGCTTAAGATACTACTATTGTTTTATCGTTTAGTTATTATTATCATTATTTTTATATATCAACCAACAATTATTCAATGTATTAGATTGAAAAGTATGTACCTCATTACTATCTTACTAGTGTCGTGTTTTCTATTATGATAGTGAAATAGATTCAGGTCATTTATCATCGAAATTAACTGTTCATTAGCCTGTTTAAGAAGTACCTGAGAAGAAAGCAGATACCATAAATACATTGTATCTTTTTAAATGTTGTCATTTAAGATGGTGGAGAAGATTTGTAGCTCAGGTGGATGATTTTGATGGAGTTTTGTTCTCTGAGCTGGATGGTTTGGTTGTTGTCATTTAAGCTTTGTTTAAATAAATGAAGAGAATCAAGTGCATAGGCCAATTATATTCTTCCCTTTTAATACCTAAAGTAATATTTATTTTAAATATAAGTCACCAGCATTAGATATAAACTAAATTAGTACAAATTTCACTGAATGAAATTAGGCGGTTACAACATTTTATCTGGTAGTTTAATCAAATCCTATTACATTACATTAACAATGGATTAGTTACACGCAACATTTGAGGTTGAAATGTTTGATTTCAATGACTAAGGTTATTGGAAACCATTTATATACTTAATACATTTTTTAGTGGTCAATATCTAATATTCTATTGAACCTATAGCCAATATTCTACAATCAATTTCGATTATGATTAATTTTGGTTAAACCCTTTAATTAATTTGCTTAACAGACAATGTTGTTTTGAACAGTAACAATTCGCATATTTCTTTATTCCGTTATGATCACTAGAGCATATGACAGAATCTAATTAAAATGTTGATCGTTTAAATATCACCCGATGATTCATCCTCCTTCCCATGTATATATATTTGTACTCAAATCCCATTATTAGCTTTAGCTGTGCCTTACTATACCCTTATGCAATTTGACTATAAATTTGCCTATATAATTGCACATATATATACTTATTCACTTCTCTGCTACAAATATGCTCAATGATCTGCGCTATCCCCTAATAAACTGTAGTTGCCAATTCTCATTATCACTGAGATTTATATAATAACAGTTATCAAAGTGATTGATTAACGAAGCAAAGCAACTACAAAAGACGAAACTTTTTGTCCTGAATTCCACTGCTAACTAATTTTTTTTTCTAAATAATAATCTTGTTGATAACATTTCTGAGTTTATTTAAAGCCTAACATACTAAACTGTAATGGGATTAACTAGAATCTTTAAAATTCTATAACAACTTGACAAGATACATTTGTTAATTATAGTTCTGTTTAACTGGATTACATAAATTTATTCTCTTTCCAATAAGATTTTGATCTTACTTCATTCATTTAAATAAGATTTAGCATTATTTTTTGTCACTACATGGCTTAACATTTTGTTTTATTTCCAATAATGGGACAAATTACATGACGAGAAATTCTGATTTCACATCTATCCCTATTATATCTATCATAAATATATTGTCATATCTAAGTATAGATAGCGTTTTGAATTGTTTTTTCTAGTTAGAGTCTTTTCTAGAGAGTTAGTTTTCTAAGGGGAGGCGGTTGCTAACTTCATGCCTAACCCTCCCTCTTTATCTGGATTTGGGACCGGTAGTAACCCTAGAGGGGCTCCGGGCATAGTTATAAGTATAGATAAATATATGTTTATACATGAAATAATATTCATTTAAGTTTACTGAAACATTGGTTTAGAATATTACACATTATTGGTATCACGACCAAGGTTCGACTCGATAGTTTCAAATGAATTGAGCATTGAATAGAGAGCTAATAATAAATATATTTTTGTTATATCCCAATGGGCATATAAATTATATTATAGTTTTATTTACTCTGAAGAAGTGGCTTACACTAAGTCACGAAACGTCAGAAATTTAATTTTTTTTCTACTTATTGGGATATAACAAAAATGTACTTACTATTACAAATTATTGTATGAGACAATGACAAGAATATTACTTGTAATG